AACAGTATAATTTATTGCCAAACTAAAATTACTATTTGATTACGGTAAGGATAGAGAAGTTTTAAGTGATAGGGAATATAGATACTTGTTTGTTTTACACCCTAGGATCCCTATCTTTTACCACCTACCAAAGATACACAAGAGACTCCATTACCCCCTTGGTAGGCCGATCATATCAGGGATAGGCTCTCTAACCTCTAACTTATCAGAATACGTGGATCAATATCTACAAAACCTGGTTCACCATCTTAAATCATATCTTAAAGATTCAACTCAGATCCTCAATCTATTAGTAGACATTAGCTGGGAAGAGGACATGATCTTGGTGACAGCAGATGTATACAGTGATAGAACACCACCAGGGATGTGAAGCGGTACAGTATTCATTGGCCACTTATTCTGAAATTATGAATGATCAGATCTATTTTTTTACAAATACAATGTGTAGCATTTATTTTAAGTCACAATTATTTTTGGTCAGATGACTTTTTTTATTTACAACTAGAAGGGACAGCCATGGGAACACGTTTTGTGCCGAGCTATGCTAACCTGTTTATGGGCAAGTGGGAGGACGAATTTATTTGGAACCACTGCCCCCTTGGCGCAAAACTGTCTCTGGCGGTGTCAGGATTACAAGTTGATCCAGCATGCAGTACTGTGTCACACCTAGGACTAAAGATAACGTATAACCGAACCTTAGAATGGCCGGACTTAACGCCTCCAAGAATAGTCAAAATACTAGCCGAGGTCAGGGGCACAGAATCAGACACAAAGATGAGGGACAGCCAAAGGTCAAGGATACCAGATATCAGGGAAGTTAAAACAAAGCCAAAGTCAAATACCAGAAAATCAAGATCAGGAACGCACTCTCGGATAACATATACATGAAACCACGACAGGGCAATGAGCAAGAGGAGAATTGGGTTTAAATACCCCTCCTGTGGATCTGATTGGCTGTAACCTGCCTTTGATCCCAAAGGCAATTACCAGGTTTCCATGTTGCATGATTGCTCGGCACTTTTCCTGTCAGGACAGTAATGTTGCTCGGCACAACTTTTCCTGTCAGGACAGTAAATGCCATTAACCACATTTTTATGTGCGGATGAATACGTGACAGGCAGAAATATATCAACGATTGCTTTTTTATCTGGCAGGGAAGTATAGAATCACTTGAAAATTTTAAACTATCTTAACAATAATCCATATAATTTGCAATTCACATTCTGTCACTTTACAAGCCAAATTGAATTTTTAGGACTACAATTTTTAGATCTTGAGAGAGAGAGAGAGATATATAGATAGATATATAGCTATAGAGAGAGAGAGAGAGAGAGAGAGAGATATGGAAAACCCACACACAAACTTTTTAAGATGGACGTAGACTAATATACCTTTTTAGCAGTTACCATAAACGCACATGGCTTGAAAATATACCATATGGGCGATTTAGAATAAAGGAATAAGGAAGAACTGTTCAGAACTGGAAACTTGTCAAACTCAAATGCAAGAAATGAAGCAGAGATTTACAATAAAAAGATATCCAGAACCGCTCCTAGAACAAGCAATGAAGAAGGCCATATCTATACCAAGAGATGATACCCTCTATAATAAGAGAATACAACCAGAAGAACAAAAGCCTTCCAGCCTTCATAAAGAAATACAGTAATCAATCCCAAAATATCAAAAAGGTGTTGGCTAAACACTGGGATGTACTAAAAAGTGAACATATGCTTAATCAATATTTAGATGACCAACCAAACGTTATCTTTGCCCAAGCTCCCAATTGAAAACTTTTGCTGGCACCAACTGACAACTCTAGAAGCTATCTTCATGACACCTCAAAAATGTCTATTAAATGCTTCACAAGGTGCAAGAAATGCATAGGATGTAGGAATAATCCTAATTTAGATCATATTCAAGACCATTTCCCCCCTTTGAACAACCAGAAAAAATACAGAGTAAAATCTAATATGGACTGTAACACAACAGGGGTAATCTATCAATTTACATACCCCTGTCCAAAACAATATGTAGGAAGACCTAAAAGATCCCTAAAAATAAGTGTCGGAACATATAAGAAATATTTAAGGATTGCCCACACATAATCTTTCAAAACATTTTAATGATGTTCATGGAAGAGATCCAGGTGGTTTGCAGTTTTTATCTATTAAAGTCAAAGTGCATTGGAGAGGGGGAGATCTGCACAAAAATTTAGACCAAGCAGAAACTAGATGGATCTTCATCCTCCATATCCTAGCCCCAAGAGGCTTAAAAGTTGATTTTGAACTTAATGCATTTTTATGATAACTTTTTAAATTAGAAGTATTTATCTATTCTTTTCCTTTTTAGATTACCACCATTATATATTTTTTTTCTTCAATTCTCCTATTTTATTTTTATATAATAGGTTTCTAGTTTTTATCTTGATTTCCGATCTGTCACATTTTATTTTCTTGCAGTTTCCTATTTACTATGTATTCATATAAATGGCTTTCCCTTTTTATTTTATAGTCCTCTACACGGGCGTACATACCGCTGTCGCAGGGCTCGCAGCTGTGCCCGTCACTCCAGGGGCCCATTGGCCGCCCTGCAGACCCCTGCGACCAGGTGCCCGCCATCATCATTTGAGGACCTGGCCTGTGCGGCAAACCGCAGGGGCCGCCGTCCAAGTGGCCCGATGGAGATGAATTGTCAGGGGGCCCGGTCAGCATTTGCGGCACTTTAACAGCGCAACCGGGCCCCCTGTGATGAGATCATCAATGCTAGGAGGAAGTGACTGCACGTCACTCCTCCCAGCTAACACACACAGACCGCGCGGGAGGAAGAACAGGGAGTCAGAGTGGGAACTCTGACTCCCACCAGCCTGAGCCATCACTGGACCACAGGGAAAGTCACCCTCCTGCACCTAAAAGGTAGGAAACTGGAGGGTGACATAAATATTGTGTGTTTGTTTGTGTGTCTGTTTTTTATGTGTCTTTTGTATTGATTTTGATTTGTTTTATCCTTTTCCATAGTCATTTTATATATTTTTAGTATATTATATTTATTCTTCCACCTTTCTATTCATTATTCTTTTGATTTTGGCTTTCCCTTGCTCTTTAGATTTATTATTTAGTATTGTTGATACTATTTTTTCTTTATCTGTATTTATAATCTGTCTTTTGCTAGGTACTATATTTATTATTTACTATATATGATCTATTTTTACTTTGCACTCTTATTCTCCGTTTTTATTTTTATATTTTTTATTTTCTCTTATTCTTTACCTTTCTCGTTTTCTTTCTTACTAATGCTTACTAAGAGCTCCGCAATTTATGTATTATGACGGCTATTTGATACAATGTGATTTGTACCAGCTGTTTCTTCAAACGTATCTGTCAATTATTGAAGCCTCTGAAGTGAGGCTCTCCTCACGTGTAAGGCTATGCACAGACTAGTGCTATTCACGATCAAGATTCACTATCCAGTGGAAGAACGTTCTACAAACTCTCTATGCACGAGCCGACCTAGATCTTCACACGAAGAGACATTGAGGATCATTCTTCTGACAGTTCAGTGTGATTACCTTTGTGGATTTTGTGGACTATTGGACTTTGGATATTACTTTTCATTAATTTGATTTTCTCAATAATTGGCTTTTATATATGGACTCATTCTGGACTTATTATACAGTTCTCATCTGCGTGTTTATGAATTTAATCAATTTTGTGCTCTTATTTTGATATAAATTTTACCGCTATTTATTTTAGCGCCTTGAAACCTTTCATCTTATTTTTATAACTGATATCGATATACCTGTTTTTCTAGGGAGGATTGGTGTCCTACCTTCCAGTTTTAGAGCTATTTATTTGATTAATTGTGGTTTTATCTACTATTGATTTTACAAATGTACTTTCACTCCCTCTATTTTAGAGCCAGACTACTTATTCTTGTATTTTAAGCACTTCGTTTTCTCTTTTTTTTTTCTATGCTTTTAATACTTTTATTTGTATTTTGTGTCTTTTATCAGTGTCACACATAATTACAGACAGTCACTTACCGGTACAGGTAGACAGTGGCATACGCACACCGGTACGGGCAGCCCCATATAAACACAGTTACAGGAAGCCAGTTACAGACAGTCGTAAACACAGTTGCAGTCATACATAGGTAAAGACAGACGGTCACACACATACAGGCAGACAGTCTTATACACACAGTTGCAAGCACACAGTCTTTCACTCTCACTCACACACGTACAGGCAGACACAAATTGCCTCTTTCCATTATGGAGCAGGGGCACGGCAGTCCCTGGTGTTTAGGTGTCTGGGGAACAGGGACTCATTCCTGCTTTCCCCACAGTGTTTATAAGTTCCCAGGCAGCGAGTTTTGGGCTGCATTGTAGCTCTGCCATCGCTTCCCATTTAGCTCCTCCCCTTACGCAGCCCCCCGCCACACATTTAGTTCCACCCCCGCTGCATTACCTGATAGTCTGGTAGGGGTGGGAGGATAATTAAATCCTCCATATGGTGCAGTGTGGCCCGCTACATAGCGCAACCTGCATTATAGGAGTGATCTGTGAACTCCCTCACACCTGTCATCCAGGGAGTGTGTGATCTGTATCGGCCACATGGCGCCCCTGCTGCCATAGTGCCTTGTGCAACCAGACAGCTCGCACACTCCTAAGGCCAGCTCTGATAACCATCTCATCTTACTGAAGTGGTTATGGAGCATAGACCGAATTCCCGCAGCCTTAATTTTTGTAAATGTTTAATAATGTTGATTTAAAAAAATTCAGTAAAATATTTATGAATTAAAGAAAAACTCCGGGCACCAGTACAACTCTGATGCATTTGATTTTGGCTTAATTAATATCTAGTTTTTGCATAAATTTTTTTTGTTATGCTACACTATAAGCCTGCCTCTTTTTAACCAGGACATTCATGCCAGAAAGACTTCCTTATCAAATGTATGCACATCTCTGACCCCAAGGTACTGAGTGAGCTACTTTTTTTTTTTTTTTTGTCTTTTTCTTTATTAAGTGGTATAAAATTGTACATAGCTAATATTGCAAAAGAAATGTTACTCAAATATTTGACAATGTAATCACAATGGAAAACTATACCTTTATTATATTATATGAACAGTAAGCAAATGGTTTAGTGCATAGCAATATAAAGTATAACTAGATCTAAGAGGTTAAGTGAAAATGATTGCTTGTTCAAATAAGAACAAACAATAAGCAGCATGATGTGAAAAATACAACTCTGCAACTGTGGCTGCCTATCTGTAACAAAAGAAATGAGTGATCAAACTCTCAAAACCTTAGCATACAAAGTGGGAGAACTGTATTACAGAAATTCTACCCAGAATTGGTATTGATGCAGAACGAAGGTTAGCTTAGGCCTTCCGAAGGCAAGCAAAGTCCCATCTTCCACTCTTTTATGCTAGACTGCCATAAACCCAGGCACAGCCGAGTGCCTCAGCTGACTTAGACTCAAACCCTCTATCACTGGCCTAAACTGCTGTTCCAATAGAAAGTCCATTACCTAGACTGGTACTTGGGAAGGGTAAGGTGGCGTCCAGGCTTCCAAGGTCATGCAGTTTCCTGAGTAATGGCCATATCAAATAATGGTCCTGGGTCATCATGCTGCTAACTAAGCGACAGAGCGCTGACTGGCACCTGAAATATGAAATGCTGTCGGAGGCAGTGGAGCTTCAACCAGCAGGCAGTGGGAGCCAAAGGAGTACATGGGATCTTCTATCTTAAATAGACTATTATCCCAGTTAGCTTTGTTCACCAAATTGGAAACGCACACTCTATTAAAAAAAAAAAAAAAAAAGATAACGTCCACTTAGATACACCAAGGAGAGAAGGACAAGTTCCCAGCAGTTGGAATGGAGAACCTGGGCACACAAGGTGGTATCCATAAATAGCAGAATATATTTCAGGAACTGGTACAGCAAGGGAGTTGGAAGAGCATATGGGATCCACTATCTTGGATGGGTTATTACCCCAATTAGTGTCTCAATCATTAGCCCAGGGCACCTCAGTAGTACCAGGATAACACTCACTATTGAGGGGGCAGAACTGTCCTGTTAGACTTCCTCCAGACAAATGGAAATGCTGCTAATCTGTATGCTACTGAGTTCCCGCAATCACCATGGAACCACAACTGTCATAGTGCCCAGTAATTCTGCTGGAAGAGTGAAAAGTAGCTTTTTCCTCCCTCAGAGTGCATCCAACATACAGCTGATCAGTATAGTAATCATGCCCCACCCCCAGAGTGAGCTGCTAAGGACTGAGGCAGTTGTACAAGTTTGAATTTGCGCTATATGTCTGTTCAACCAGAATTCACCTCTTTAACCCCTTAAGGACCGAGGACGGTTCAGGACCGTCATCGGCATTTTTGCGTTGCCGACCGATGACGGTCCTGAACCGTCCAAACGGTCTGGGGCTACTTACCTGATCGCCGTCGTTCCCCCGGCGGCGATCAGTGTTCCTCCGGTTGTGGGGAGACTGCCTGCAGCCCAGACAGTCTCCCCACGGCAGATTAGGACCCCTGTGGCCATGTGATCGCTTAACACAGCGATCACATGGTCACAATAGGTGTCCATGTGTCTGCCTGCAGGGGGACTGTCTGTGCTGACAGGCAGTCTCCCTGCTAGTGTAAAATCAATTAAAAAAATAAAGTTAGTGTTAATAAAAAATAAAAAATAATTATATATGTGTATATATGATATATAGACATATATTATATCTATATAATATATGTCTATATATCATATATATATATAATGTCCATACTAAGTGTATTTTTATATTAATATGTACTTATATTAATATAAAAATACACTTATAATTAAATTACACACGTATATATATAATATATATAATAACTATATATATGTATATATATATTATTATAAAATATAACTAAGTAATTTAAATTAAATAATTTTTTTAAAAATAATAATAAAAAATTTAAAAAAAATTATATAGCTATATGAAATTTTATTCTAACTGTATTTTAAAATTAATATATATATATTTATATCAAAATACACTTAAAATGAATTTGTATATATATCTATGTATATAAAAATAAATAAAAATAATAAGAAATATACATACGCCCATATACAAAATTACATAAATAATTATATAAATATACACGTAGACTTCAAATATATAAATATGCATATATATTTAAATTCTACGTGCGTATTTATGTAATATTTTTACATAATTCAGTAATTTTATTGATTGCAATTTGAGGGACCTGCCTGCCAACCCAGGCCGAAATTCCAGAGAATTTAATTTGTTAGCACTGTATTTTACCCTGTAACGTTCTACGACACCCTAAAACCTGTACATGGGGGGTACTGTTTTACTCGGGAGACTTCGCTGAACACAAATATTAGTGATTCAAAACAGTAAAACATATCACAGCGATGATATTGTCAGTGAAAGTTACTTTTTTTGCATTTTTCACACACAAACAGCACTTTTACTGATGATATAATTGTTGTGATACGTTTTCCAGTTTTTAAACACTAATATTTGTGTTCAGCGATGTCTCCCGAGTAAAACAGTACCCCCCATGTACAGGTTTTATAGCATTTTTGAAAGTTACAAGGTCAAATATATGGGTCAAATATTTTTACATTGAAAATGGCCAGGTTGGTTACGTTGCCTTTGAGAGCGTATGGTAGCCCAGGAATGAGAATTACCCCCATGATGGCATACCATTTGCAAAAGAAGACAACCCAAGGTATTGCAAATGGGGTATGTCCAGTCTTTTTTAGTAACCACTTGGTCACAAACACTGGCCAAAATTAGCGTTCAATTTAGTTTTTTTACTTTTTTCACACACAAACAAATATGAATGCTTACTTTGGCCAGTGTTTTCGACTAAGTGGCTACTAAAAAAGACTGGACATACCCCATATTGAATACCCTGGGTTGTCTACTTTAAAAAAAATATGTACATGTGGGGTGTTATTCAGAGATTTATGACAGATAATAGTGTCACAATGTCACTATTGATAAATTTAAAAAATGTATGTTTTGAAACCGCAATATCCTACTTGTACCTATAGCCCTATAACATGCAAAAAAAAGCAAAAAAGCACGTAAACACTAGGTATTTTAAACTCAGGACAAAATTTTGAATCTATTTAGCAGTTTTTTTCATTCGCTTTTGTAGATGAGTAAAAGATTTTTCAAGTAAAAGTCAAAAAACATGTATTTTTTTCAATTTTTCATCATATTTTTTTTAAATTAAAATACATGAGATTATATAAATAATGGTATGTAAAGAAAGCCCCTTTTTGTCCTGAAAAAAACAATATATAATTTGTATGGGAACAGTAAATGAGAAAGCGGAAAATTACAGCCAAACACAAACACCACAAAAGTGTAAAAATATTCCTGGTCGCAAATGTACAACATCGCAAAAACAGTCCAGTCCTTAAGGGGTTAATATTAAATGCACACACACTTATTATATATCATTTTGTTCAGGAGAAACCGGGCTTTCATGTCATATCAAATATTTATATGTAAAACATAATTTAATATTAATAAAATATAAACATAATGCGAGAAATTAAGACATTTTTTTTTTTTTTTTCGTTCTGCATGGCAACTTAACTGTGAATAGCATGATACTGTCAGCTTTTACTGCAATAAAATACACATATTTGTATTCAGCAATGTCTCATAAGTAAAACGGTACCCCCTAAGTACAGGTTTTATAGTGTTTTTGAGAGTTGCAGGGTCAAATATAGCACGTTACATTTTTCAGTTTATACACATTGATATTTGCCAGACTGGTTATGTTGCCTTTGAGACCAAATGGTAGCCCAGGAATGAGTATTACCCACATGATGGTGTACCATTTGCAAAAGTAGACAACCCAAGGTATTTATTACAAATGGGGTATGTCCAGTCTTTTTTTTTTAGTAGCCACTTAGTCACAAACACTGGCTAAAGTTAGCGTTCATATTTGTGTGTGAAAAATGCAGAAAACTAAATTGACTGCTAATTTTGGCCAAGTGGCTCCTAAAAAAGACTGGACATATACCCCATTTGCAATACCTTGGTTGGCCTACTTTTTTGGTATATATTAACAAGAGAGGTGAGCACACCTGATAATCAGCCATAAACACTGGACAAAGAAAATTAGTACAGATAAGGGTGCTCAGCCCCATTTCCAAAAGGCTGCTAATCATATAATACTGAAAGGAGGACCCCAATCATTAAAATGCAAAAAAAAACACTTTATTGTATAGGAACACATATACTCAAACATATCTATCCAATATGCAAGCAATGACTGAAACCAAAGAAAGAGAGAGAGAGAGAGAGGGAAAAAAAAAAAGAGATTCTGATCGAAGTAATCAAAACTAGGTGGTGTAAACACTGATGTAAAGGGAGCTCCCTTGATGAAGGTTGATAGTGCTGAAACGGGGGCTTTTTTTTGTTTGACGTCTTCACCCTCTTCTCATCTTCCTTGATAGGGTCTGTTTGTGGTATGTAATTCTTTTGGTTCACATTTTTATACAGGTATCATAATATTGTTTCTTTACATTGATGTGAAAAAACTGAAATGCAAGCCTTATATTTGACTCTGTAACTTTTGAAAACACCATAAAACCTGTACATGGGGGCACTGTTATACTCGGAAGACTTTGGTGAACAGAAATATTAGGGTTTCAAAACCGTAAAACGTATCACAACAATGATATCGTGATTTGACAGTGTCTCTTTAATTCTGTAATGGGTTTCAGTTCTGCAGGCCCCTCCCTCATCATTGTTTGTAGAAGCTTTGAGAGCATCTTGGCATGTCAGTGGGGCTGGTTTAAAATCTACTCTGTTTCAGCAGATCTTGCACATGCCTATTCTCCTCCTTTTATGAGGAATTTCCATTGAGTTGCAATTTGCCTGATGTTGAGGCATCGCTGTAATACCCCCCTCACTGCCGGGGGCCACTGGATATTACTGGGTGATCGCTCTCCCCCAGAGTGATCACTTCCGGGTTGCTCCACGTGGAGCCCGGCAGTGAGGCAGAGCATCTCTGCCTGTACGGAGTGCCTTGAGGAGTCGAGGCACTCAGTTAAATAGAAAAAAAATAAAATTAACCATCTACCCTCCCTCCCCTTCTCTCATGTACTTACTGATCGCCTCGTTCCCCCTCCGGCGATCGGTCTTCTTTGGGGGGCCTCTTTGGACTGAGCCCAGAGAGTCCCCCCCTTTCCAATTTAAGACCCCCAGGGGCCATGTGACCTCTCTAAAAGAGCGGTCACATGGCCACCATAGGTATCCACAGTGCTGCCAGCAGGGGGCTGCCTGAACTATACACATTTATATACACAGTTGGGATGAGGTTTTGATGTTGGTGTGCTGTGCCTTTTTTTCGCCACACATAGTGTTGTGTGTTTCTTCCAAACAACTCAACTTTGGTTTCATCTGTCCACAGAATATTTTGCCAGAACTGCTGTGGAACAACCAGGTGCTCTTGTGCAAACTGTAAATG